ATTACCTGTTCCCATGATGACTTACCTGTTCCCACGATGACTTACCTGTTCCCACGATGACTTACCTGTTCCCATGATGACTTACCTGTTCCCGTGATGATTTACCTGTTCCCACAATGATTTACCTGTTCTCACGATGACTTACCTGTTCTCACGATGACTTACCTGTTCCCACGATGACTTACCTGTTCCCACGATGACTTACCTGTTCCCACGATGACTTACCTGTTCCCATGATGATTTACCTGTTCCCACGATGACTTACCTGTTTCCATGATGACTTACCTGTTCCCACAATGACTTACCTGTTTCCATGATGACTTACATATTCCCATGATGACTTACCGGTTCCCATCATGATTTACCTGTTCTCACGATGACTTACCTGTTCCCACGATGACTTACCTGTTTCCATGATGACTTACCTGTTCCCACAATGACTTACCTGTTTCCATGATGACTTACCTGTTCCCATGATGACTTACCGGTTCCCATCATGATTTACCTGTTCCCATGATGACTTACCTGTTCCCACGATGACTTACCTGTTCCCACGATGATTTACCTGTTCCCACGATGACTTACCTGTTTCCATGATGATTTACCTGTTCCCACAATGACTTACCTGTTCCCACAATGACTTACCTGTTCCCACAATGACTTACCTGTTCCCACAATGACCTACCTGTTCCCACAATGACTTACCTGTTCCTAGGAAGACTTACCTGTTCCCAATGATAATAGCAACAAACCTTCCAGACTGCCAGGCTAGTTATGCGAATGAGATCGTCATGAAGTTGTGCCATGGACATCGACAGTGCCACCTGGAAGCGAATCCACAAGTGTTTGGCAAACCTTGCTCGGCTGACTCCAGGATGTACTTGACGACGGCTTACACTTGTGGTAAGATATTCTTTTGTTTTCTTACTATTCAGGACTAATGTAACACAAGAATGGATTATCTAACCATATGGGTGAGCATTTCTTGCAATGCTGCTAACACATGCAGCATTTCAGGCATTGTATATGTTGATAGGGCATTTTTAAGGAGTGATTCTTTTAATTCGTTTATATTCAAAGTTATACTCTTATACTCTTTAATAATCACAGTATAGTCTTGTATTGATCGAAATAATTGTATTGCCTTGTATTCACTTGCTGTTCAAGGTCAGCTGATAGAGAATGCAGTGCATGTTTTATTTTCTCAAAACCCCCATACAGAGCATGAACTGCATCAAAATGTGCTGACCATCGTGTGTCAGACATACGCTTGACAACAAAATATTTTCCTAAAGATGATGTCAAGACATTCCAGCGATGAGTAGAATCAGCAAAAAAATTAATGCAGATGCTGAATAAAGTCAAAGAATGTGACAGTCTGTAGACAACACTCTGCTGCATTTACTCCCCATCAAGTTCAGGCTGTGTCCAGCACAGGGGACATATATAGCAAAATCATTGTAATTATCAAAGTGTAATTATCTAAGAGTAGTTACAGGATGAGAGCTACACTCGTGGTGTCCTGTCTACCCATATCCCGTCTACCCTCAGATTCGTAGTCCTGAAGTTCCGGGTTCGATCCCCGGTGGAGGCGGAGACAAAGGGGCAAAATGTTTCTTTCACTTTGATGCCCCTGTTACCTAGCAGTAAATAGGTACCTGGGAGTTAGACAGCTGCTACGGGCTGCTTCTTGGGGATGGAAGCCTGGTCGAGGACCAGGCCGCGGGGACACTAAGCCCCGAAATCATCTCAAGATAACCTCAAGATAACCCAGCATTCTTTGTCATATAACACTTTGAAACTACTGACGGTTTTGGCCTCCACCAACTTCTCACCTAACTTGTTCCAACCGTCTACCACACTGCGAAAGTGAATTTTCTTATATTTCTTCGGCATCTTTGTTTAGTTAGTTTAAATCTATGACCTCTTGTTCTTGAAGTTCCAGGTTTCAGGAATCTTCCCTATCAATTTTATCAATTCCTGTTACTATTTTGTACGTAGTGATCTTATCACCTCTTTTTTTTTTCTTCTGTCTTCTAGTTTTGGCATATTTAATGCCTCTAACCTCTCCTCATAACTCTTGCCCTTCAGTTCTGGGAGCCACTTAGTAGCATGTCTTTACACCTTTTCCAGTTTGTTGATGTGCTTTTTAAGATATGGGCACCATACAACCGCTGCATATTCTAGCTTTGGACTAACAAAAGTCGTGAACAATTTTTTTAGTATTTTGCCATCCATGTATTTAAAAGCAATTCTGAAGTTAGAAAGCATGGTATAGGCTCCTTGCACAACGTTCTTTATGTTGTCTTCAGGTGATAGTTTTCTATCTAGAACCTCCCCTAGATCTCTTTCTTTATCAGAATTCTTCAAAGATTTCTCACATAATTTAAAGGTTGTGTGGGGTCTATGTTCCCCTATTCCACATTCCATAACATGGCATTTATTCACATTAAATTCCATTTGCCAAGTGGTGCTCCATATACTTATTTTGTCCAGGTCTTCTTGAAGGGCATGACAATCATCTAAGTTTCTTATCCTTCCTATTATCGTAGCATCATCAGCAAACATGTTCATATAATTCTGTATTCCATCTGGTAGATCATTTATGTAGACAATGAAGATCACCGGTGCAAGAACTGAACCCTGTGGTACTCTACTTGTGACATTTCTCCAGTCCGATACATTGCCTCTGATTACTGCCCTCATTTTCTATCAGCCAGAAAATTTTTCATCCATGTTAGAAGCTTACCTGTCACCCCTCCAATATTTTCCAGTTTCCAGAATAACCTCTTATGTGGAACTGGGTTGAAAGCCTTTTTTAGGTCCAAATAGATGCAGTCAACCCAACCATCTCTTTCCTGTAAAATCTCTGTGGCTCGATCATAGAAACTGAGTAAATTCGATACACAGTATCTTCCAGATCGAAAACCATACTGTCTGTCTGATATTATATCATTTCTCTCCAGGTGTTCTACCCATTTAGTTTTGATTATTTTTCAATATTTTGACTATTACACTTGTCAGTGATACAGGTCTATAATTGAGGGGGTCTTCCCTGCTGCCACTCTTGTTGATTTTAACTATGTTAGACTTTTTCCACATATCTGCTACAACTCCTGTACACAGGGATGTCTGAAAAATCAGCTGAAATGGAATGATGAGCTCAGTTGCACATTCTCTCAGAACCCATGGTGAAACTCCATCTGGGCCAACTGCTTTGTTCTTACTTAGCTTAAAGAGCATTTGTTTAACTTCGTCTCTAGACACCTCTATGTGCTCTATGCTGTTCTCTGGAATTCTTATTTTGTCTGGTTCTCTGAAGATCTCATTTTGTACAAACACACTTTGGAACTTTTTTTTTTAAGTTTTACACATTTTCTTTTCATTTTCCATGTATCTGTCCCCCATTTTCAACCTCTGAATATTATCCTTTACCTGCAGCTTGCTTTTAATGAATTTATAGAAAAGGCCTGGATCTGATTTACACTTGTCTGCTATAATGTTCTCAAAGTTCCTCTCTGTCTCTCTCCTTACTGACGTGTAGTTGTTTCTTGCATCTTTGTATCACTGATATGTTTGGGGGTTTGGCCTCTTCCTATAATGATTCCATGCTTGTGTTTTTTTATCTCTGCCCCCTCTTGCAATTTCTGTTGAACCAACCCTGTTTCCTAGGTCTGCATCTCAGTTTTGGTATGAATGTTTGTGTGCCTTCATCGTATATTTCGCAAAATTTGGCATACATCTCATTTACTTCCTTGCCTAGAAACAAATCTGTCCAATTATACCTATGAAAAAAAAGTTCTAAGTTCCCCATAGCGTCCTCTCTTGAAATCGAGTTTAAGAACTGTTTCCATGTCCCCATTCTCTACTAGACTATATCGCATAGCGTATTTAATGTCCAAGAGGATGTGATCACTCTTTTCCAAGGGAGGAAGGTACTGGATGTCAAATACCTCCTCTTCTTTCCTGGTGAATATTAAATCCAGTACCGACGGAACATCCCCTTCCCTCATTCTTGTGGCCTGCTTGAAATGTTGATACATGAATGTCTCCAAGATAAGGTTTACAAATCTGTCTGTCCAAATGTTCTCTGTTCTTGCCTCATAGGCCTCCCAGTCTATTGCCTTAAAGTTGAAGTTCCCCAGTACCAACAATCGGGATTTATCTTTGTCAGCTCTTACCATAATCTCTCTCATGACCATTATGAGGCCCTCTCGTTTGTCATCCAGTTCTTCCTTTGTCCATCTGTTGCTTCCTGGTGGGCTGTAGGCATTTACAATTAACAGCTTATCATCTTGATTCCAGACCTGCAATGCCATTATGTCAATATCTCGAGGGTTTTCTATTATACCTCTTTTACACCAGAAAGTTGGTATTCTTTCTTTAATTGAGTTGGTATCTTACTGGTATTTTTTCACCAGCACAGCCACTCCTTCCCCCTTCCTGGTTTTTTTTTTTCTGCCACTCTCACTTGTTGGGCAACTTTTAAAGATATAAGGAATATTACTGGAACAAAGGTGTAGCATTCAAGAAAGCACTTAAGTTTCTGCAGGAGTTTGATTTTGAAAATTTGGATTTGTTAGGTTAAGAATATTTGGGTTTCTAGGCTGCTAATGCAAAAAGCCTTATCAGAGAATACCATCCCCAAGAATGGGACGATGCTTGGATATTGTAAATATTCTTAGTATTTAATAAAAATGAATATAAACATTAATTTATTCCAATTTCTGATTATAGTTCCCAAGAAAATTCTAAAGACAACATCACAAGAGGACGATGAAGAGAAGGAAGTAGGGGAGGAGGCCCAGGAGGAGGGCAGCCTTATGTTCCCAGCCTTGCCAGATCCGTTCTCACCTGCATCTCCTCCACAGCACACACAAACTCCTACTGTATTTTATAATCCCACAGTCACCACCAAAACTTCTAATAAAAAAAGTAAGATAAGCTTATCATAGCTTCTGACTTGCTTTTTTGCTGTATAGACTATGTCACATGGGCTATACAGCAAATTAATTGTGCACTAAATACACAATACTGTATACTATTTTAGTTATTAGGTCTGTCCATGTGTTGAGATTTGAGTTAAACTATGTGAATTGTATAATCTGTATCCAAGTCATTATGGAACCATCTAGAAGTATATATAACGACTCTTTCTCTTCTCTTTGACCTTTTTATCTATACTGTAATCTGGCATATGACATTTTGAAGCTTCCAATGGTTTTTGCATCCACCACCCTGTCAATTTATTCCATCTTCTGCTTTGCTGGCAAGAGAATGTGTAAACTTTTGTCAACTGTGTTGATCAAGAATAGCATGTGATCAAAAGAGGATGCATTAGCTTCAGAGTCATTTAATAGTACAGTGGAACCTCGAGTGACGAGCGGCTCCAGTTACAAGCATTTAGAGTAACGAGCAGGTCACACGCAGAAAATGTGTTTCGATTGACGAGCTTTCCCTCGATTAATGAGCGTTCCTGCTGGTTCTCGAACACCTCCAACGACAGTTTCGTTGTTGTTCCACAAGATGAGTTTTCCACATGACGAGTTTGGTGCCAGAACTGATTAAACTCGGTAATCAAGGCGCCACTGTATGTCTTTGCACCTATTTTGTTTATTTATATTCTTTTTGAGATATGAAACCCCGAAAAACAAACAGGCCAGGAGGCCTGGGAAGAAGAAAAACACCGACGATCTGCATTGAGTAAATCGAGTAATCAGTAGAACACCAACGCAATGCTGAAAAGAACACCACGATGAGAAGCCCTGCCTCCTACAAGACACATCAGCGAGCACCCATAAGAACTCCACTCTACCACCAAACTGCAGCATCAGCTGCAATTCTTACCCACGGTGGTTGGGCCTCTGATCTTTCATCTCCCCTCTTCACCTCGTCTCCAGTTCCTCGCTCAAGATTTCTGCATCCTCGCCCCTGTCTTCAACCCCCTGCTTGCCTGCTCTAGGGCTTTTTAATCGGTTAAATGAAACCCCACAACTGCTACATAAATCTGATTGGGACTCTCATATATCACAAAAATTTATTTAACATATCTCTATCAATGAATTTAAAGTTGATTATAAAATTGGAAAGTATAGCATAGCCTCTAGCTATGCTTTTGTTGTGTTTTTTTTTTTTTTATAAAAGTTAATTATTCATAATCCCTTCATTACATTATACTTTGTAAGAGTTCTATAGCATTGTTTCACATAATTTGTAGGTTTGGTGTGGTCTATTTTCACCTGTTCTACACTCCATTACATGTCATCTATCAACATGAATTCCATTTATCATATGTTACTGTTGGGAAGTCTAAATAAAACCAGTACCAGCATGAAAGTAGTAGGTAATTATTGATAGAAGGCACCAAGCTGGGGAGATTATGTAGCACCATTAGTGTTGTTGAATATTCAAAAGGCACTAGTTATCACCAAGGATTCAGATTCAGATTCAGAGGTTTATTCAGGTAAGGTATATACATACAAGTGATGTTACATTAATGGATTGATATATAGATAGAGCTAGTACATACAATGCCTAAAGCCACTATTACGCAATGCGTTTCGGGCAAGAAAAACATTAATAACTAGATCTTAATACTAATTGAGCATAAAGAATAAAAAGTGTTGAGAACAAATACAAATAAAGATAAAAAAAGGGGGAACATGACTGAAAAAGCAGCACAAATACAATAGGGTGACAAACAGTGTTGATTAAAAAAAAAGAAAATAACAGACATGGGTTGACAATAGAGGAGTGAGGTAGATTACAGGGAATTTATTAGGTAGTGTTTAGTTTTTATCTTAAACTGGTTGAGAGAGGTACAGTCTTTAACATGGTTGGGAAGGTCATTCCACATTCTGGGCCCCTTGATTTGCAGAGCATTTCTAGCCAACACGACAACAAAAGCACACAAGATAAGCCGATGTTGGATCCACTAAGGTTTCTATTGAGGGGACTTATGACCATGATAGACAGTTGGGAAGCAACATGCATGAATGTCCTGAGAATTGGGACATTTTTAGGGGGCTATGTGGGTTAAGTTATAACTGTATTTCAGTAAGTTATCTTACCTTCAGTGGACTGTAAGACTTGGGTTGTTTGTTATTATGTTCCATACCTCTCCACAGGGGTAGGGGGGGGGAGTTATTTATTAATGTAATATTTAATTAATTTAGAAGTATTCCATTTAGTGGTGAATTGTTTGCTTGAACTTAAATATTTGATCAATTGTGGTGAATGAAATTAATTCTCAAATACTTGAACTTTTGATGGATCAGTACTTTGGTATTTACTCAAAATCTATTTATGATTGTTACTTAATGGGCTAAATACTATTTGTGAAATATTAAATAACTTTGGTTTGGTTATCTATACATCTATCTTTGGTTATTTAGTACAGTACTAAATGAGTAATTAAATGAGAAAGACCTCAGCTGCAAGTGTCTGACGTTCCGTGTTGGTCAGTTTCATCATCCAGTATGGCTACTGTAAGCTGGCATCAGACTCTGGGACATGTAATAATCCTTGGACAGCACCTGCCAATAATTTTAGCATTAGGCTCACAATATCAGTACTGTATATAATTACTAAAAGATTTGTAACCCCATGATCTATACACTTTAACTGAGTTTGGAAAGAGATGACACTCACATGCTGGTACAGTACAAGCATACATACATATACATACTGGCAAGAAATTATATCTATAACAGAGTCAAAGGTTCACTTATCATCTTAAGCAAGGGTCAGATTTAATGTATGTTGAACATGGATGTGTAGAATGACCGTAAACTAACAAGCGAAGCTATCGCTACTGCTTAAACCATCCGCAGTGTGAGCATCAGTTCACTCTATGAGCAACGATGAGCGAGAGTTATGACTTCCACCTTCCTTTTCCCCCCCCCTTTCTCCCAACCTCTAGTGAGAGAGAGCGCCTCTTTCATGTTATTTAATTATTTGCAGCATAAAGCTCTTCATTATGGTGAATGTGGATTCAGTTGGGTTTTTTAAGAACTGGTTAATTTATTCTAACCATATAACTCTGTAAAATATAATTAGAGATCAATTGTCCCTGAATTGTTTACTGAGGTGTGATCCTGGGTGGTATGGGCTGATTAACTACACAGTTATAATTTACACACTAATATGCTAATTAGACTTAAACTGAGAGTAACACTCATAAGGTGTTTAACATTTAAAATTTAAATTTAAATTTAAAATTAAATTTTAAAATTTAACATTTTTTAATTAAAGTTATGTGGAAACTATTTTCCACAACATTCTATAAGGAGGTGCACGACTTTAAGAGGGACGATGCAGTTTGGACAATAAGGAGCAAGGCAGCATTCCATTAAGTGCCATATGAGTTAAGCATGTATGTTATATATTTAACCTAGCCAGAGCCATTTGTCAGCACCTCCAGAAAGAACAGGACAAGACTCGAAGTAATGTCTAAAAGCATTTGACATGGAGGCAGGAAATATGGGGTGACCCAAAACAAACACGTGTCAAAGATCAATCACAAACATTTAGGAGAATCTTTATATAGAAGGGGACTAACATAATCACAATGGGGCAAGAACAACCTGCTTCCGAGTAAAAGTCCCAGCACAAGTCTTACACACAGAGAACCTGAAGCCATGATTCGTGGCATCAGGATGACACGGTATCAATCACAAGTTGGAGCTGGTGTTGTACCAGTATGAAAATTATGATGTTATAGTGATGTCTCACATGTCATGCACACCATATAAAAAAAAATTTATCACAAATTTTTTGAGGGTTTTGTTAGATGTATTTAAATATTGATGGCATAAAGGCGAAACATACTTTTCTCAGGTTTTACCCACACATTTATTGAGGTTGTGTCTTTACGTATCTTTGTATTTTCCATTCAACCATTATATTAGTGATTTTTGTTAAGATAAAGAAATCATACAGCTTGTGAATACAGTACTTATATCCTTGCATGTATAAGAATGTATTTTTTTAAGTTTATTATTGTCCTATATTTTGTTTAATGTGTTTAAGCATTAATGATAAATTGTGTATGCATTTAAAAATTTTACACTTTACATTGTGTATTTACAGGCGAGAGGGTCAATTCCCTAGACAAAGATTATCCTCGGGATGGTGTAGCCAAACCTGACCTCCTCAACTGTACAGTCACCATCCTCTCGGGCACTGGGGATCAGGAGATTGGCTTCTTAACAGAGTGGATGAGGGCTATAGCTTTTATGAAACGTAAGTTAACTCTGCAACTGCACCCATTTCTTAAGGTAAAAGACCCGTTTGGATCCCCTGTGATAACAGAAACAAAGAATATATACAACACACATTAACACTGTACATTATTAAGGATTAGTAAGTTGTGGTCCAAGTGCACACAAGTTAATAATAGATATTACAGTACTAGGATGAGATATAAAAGTAGACTGTTAAGCTACTGAAGTCACTGTATAAATATCCTTAATGCAAAATCAAGTCATAGGGACATTCTTGTTTACATGTTGATTCCAGTTAAAATTTGTTTGAAATGTTCTGTCATTTACTAATTTATTTATTTATTTATTTATTTATATACAAGAAGGTATATTGGGGGTTAAGAAAGTACATAGAAATGATGTTGATTTAGCACGCATAGCGTTTCGAGCAAGTCCTTAAATTAACAGATAATTTTAAATAGATAATTTATAGTAAAATTGAAAAAAATGTTTACAGGTACATTGTAAGAAATTTTGACAACAATAAACAAAGATTACATTTTATACACAATAATAACAATGCACTATAATGAACAAGGATTACTAGGTTCTTTAGGATAAAATTTCAGGATTATACATTGGTTTACTGTAGCACAATTTGAGGATTATTTCAAGGAGTAATGCAATAAAATATGCACTCAATATAACAACCATGATATCAGATGATATTAAAGATTACAATATTAAGTTACACGGCTTAGGTACATATATTGGGGGATGGGGAAGGGCGGGGAAGTCTGGCAAAATACAGGCGTTGACTTAGCAAGCGCTGAGGCGGTCTGCTTCACCCCAGTTGTCAGGCGGGAGTTACCACAAAGATATTATTACCTAATTATTTCAATGTCTCTGATTGATTTTTCTTAGTTTTTCTGCAGAAATATTATTCAATAGTGTATAGTGTGATATATTTATATAATAAAATGTTAGTATATTTTGGTAGCAGTCTTTCCTGTAGACATATATTATTAAATATGACCGAAAAAGTAAGATTAATAATTCTAACACGAATTTTCTCAATCTTTCGTACATTTCTTTTCACTGTTGGAGGTAATTAAAAAATCAATTCTCCAAAATTCCTTTTTATTTCTAGTCTGACGCGACACGAGCGCGTTTCGTAAAACTTATTACATTTTCAAAGACTTTAGTTTACAAATACACAACTGAATAGAACTTAAACATCTCCGATTTTGTTTATATCTACATTTGAGTGAGGTGGATGGGGTGAGGTGGCATTAATAGGGTATTAATTTCATCAACACAAGACAGAACAAGAGGTGGCATTAATAGGGTATTAATTTCATCATGATGAAATTAATACCCTATTAATGCCACCTCTTGTTCTGTCTTGTGTTGATGAAATTAATACCCCTATTAATGCCACCTCTTGTTCTGTCTTGTGTTGATGAAATTAATACCCCTATTAATGCCACCTCACCCCATCCACCTCACTCAAATGTAGATATAAACAAAATCGGAGATGTTTAAGTACTATTCAGTTGTGTATTTGTAAACTAAAGTCTTTGAAAATGTAATAAGTTTTACGAAACGCGCTCGTGTCGCGTCAGACTAGAAGTAAAAATGAATTTTGGAGAATTGATTTTTTAATTACCTCCAACAGTGAAAAGAAATGTACGAAAGATTGAGAAAATTCGTGTTAGAATTATTAATCTTACTTTTTCGGTCATATTTAATAATATAATAAAATGTGTGAATCATCGCTGTACTCAAAATTATGGTGTGCATGTTATTGATTCAATTATTATGTTCATAAAACACTGAACAAATATTTTGTCAGTTTTTACACTCTATACACAGGTTGTATATAAAAATATCTGCATGTTTTGTTCACCACAATGAACCACTAAGTTGATAATGCGAGTCAAAAAGCAAGGAGTGGCCACATCTGCCACCCAGCCACTCGCCACCACTCACTCCCTCAAAAACTCCTCATTTGCCTCCCACCATACTGTTTTTGCTTTTTATTCACTATATACAGACGTTATGTATAAGTATCTGCATGTTCTATTCACCATGACTGTTCATCTAAGCTGGTATAGTGCACAAAGAGCATAGTGGTCACCCTTACACAGCATGACAAGTCGGGAAGATGTTGCCACCTCCCTCACCATAATGGCTTCTCCCAATACTTCTTTTGCTGTTATTATACTATATATGCACATTATATATAAGTATATACATTTGTGTTCATCATAGCAAACCACTAATCTTGTATGGTGATGGCAGACAGTAACAGGTTGCCACACAACTGATGTTAACCCTCAATGGTTTAAGGCCAGATGCACTAACATTCCTCCATCAAGTATATTGTTTGTGGTGTTATTGCACAATATACACACATTATATATAAGTATCTACATGTTTTGTTCACCATAAATGTTCAACTAAGCTGGTATAGTGCCCTTAAGCATAGTGGCCACCCTTACACAGTATGACAAGTCATACAAGGTAGGAAACTATGAAGATGAAATTAGGTACTTTTTAGTTTTGTTTTTTAATTAGGCAAAAGTTGGACAGCTTTTCAATTCATTAGGGAGTGAGTTCCATAGATTAGGTACCTTTATTTGCAGTGTGTGTTTACACAGATTAAGTTTAACTCTGGGGATATCAAAGAGATATTTATGTCAGGTGTGGTGAGTATGTGTTCTATTACATCTGTCCAGGAAGAGTTTCAGAACAGGGTTTGCACATAAGAAAAGAGTTTTATAAATGTAGTTGACACAAGAGAATGTATGGAGTGAATTTATGTTTAGCATGTTTAGTGCTTTAAACAGGGGAGCTGTGTGTTGTCTGAAAGCAGAAAGCAAGCAGATATGGGGTATGTATATCTCTAACTCTGTTGGTAGTCCTTCCCGCTTGGCCCCCATGAGTGAACACATCCCGGGGGTTCAGCTTTAGAAGTTTGTTTGGTAGACTTGGGCTCCGGATTGCAGTACCCTGCCTGGGCTTCTCTTAGAGTGTCTTCAAAGTTAAGGGCCCTGGGAAACCCCACGAGGGCTATGTACTCACCTAATTGTACTCACCTAATTGTGCTTGCAGGGATTGAGCTTTGGCTCTTTGGTCCCGTGTGGTGCGATGGATGTGACCCCTTAGTCCCCCTCACGTCTTGCGAGTTGGAAGGTTGCTCTGACCCTTGTCTCAGGGTGACACTCGCCAGTTTTGCCTCCGCCATGCTGCCTGTTGGGTCAGTGATTGTTTTGACCCGGAGTCGTGCGACATGTGTTGTCTGTACATACTCCAGTTCACCCAAGCCTCTGATACTGATATGCGGGTGCAGGCAGCTACAGAGTTGCGTGCTAGATTTAGGTTGCTGCAACGAGCTCGGTTGGTTACAGCCCTGGATGCCCCGAGACTGCCCAGTTTTGGTTATAGGGACCCGGACTTGGGGGTGGGAATCGCTTCGGCTCTGGTTCTGTCCACCCCTCCTAGTTCTTCCCTTTCTGTAGTTCATTTCGCCCCCTCCCTTGCTTCCGGGTCCTGAGCATCTGAGGGTTTCGGAGTTGGAGCAGGGTCTAGTTGGTGTTGAGACTCGGGCGGTCTTGGGGGTGTCCCCTTCTGTGGTTGCGGTGGAGGCATTCGAGCCTGGTCCTTCTGCCAGAGCTTTTGGGTCTGGCCAGTGGGCCCCCTTTGTTCCTGCTTTTTCAACAGCTCCCGCCTTTTCTTTGGAGGTGGAGGGGTGTGGAGGCCGGCTCGGCCCTGGGTCCTCAGGCGAGGTTCCCGGGGTTGGACCCTATTGGACCCCGCCTGGGTTTTTCTGCCCTCCGAGCAGGGCTTTGTGTTACAAGGAGAGGGGTTCTTTTTCGCTCCCTCCACGTATGAATTGGATATGAAGTCCACCCCTCCCCAGGTTCGGTTCCATGACCTCGTGGGTTCTTCGGTTCCGTCTTTCTGGAGGTTTTCGGCTTCCCAGGTCTCATCTTCTAAGGTATGGAAAGCCTTGGCATCTTACCTCCTGCATGCCCTGGATTATGCCTTCGTGATGGATCCGTGTTGCTTCATGTACGGCTCTTCTGGTTCGTACTGGGTTTTTTATGAAGTTCCGGAGTCGTCCTGGTTGGCAGACTGTCTTCTTTTTTCGTTGGAGGCTTGGCACATGTTCTGTCGGTCCCGCGCGCATGAGTGGTGAGAGACTCATTTGGTGTTTCAGGTTTTCCTGGGGGCGCCTTCGAACACCTCAATGCTTGTTTGTTCGCCCCTGCCCTTCCACGGGATGTTTGTGTCATGCAGCTTCATGTGCAGGTTCCTTTCCTTTCGGCTGCCTTGGTGGCAGAGAATTTGCTTACATGTGGCCTGCTTACTTCGGCCCTGTGTTTCTTTTCCCTCCTTGAGTTGTCCTCAAAGAGTTGAGTTGTTGTTGAGTTGACTGTCTTGAGTTGGATGTGGGCGCGCTTGGGGCTGCTGCTGAGTTTGGTGTGCTGCCCTCTGTGGTGCGGGCGTCGTCTGTTTTGTTGAAGCTCTTTGCGCCACTCTGGCATGACGACGTTTTGCGGTTCTATGCTTCTCGCCTCGCACGTCGGCAGGCGGTGCTGACTTCCTCCTTAGAATCTGCTTGGGCCCTGTCTCTTCAGTTGTCTTCGCCTTTTTGTCCATTGCTGTTTGCTGAGTCTGCTGTGGTGCAATACCTGCAGGCGGCCTCGGTTAGTTGTCGGCCTATGTCTGAGTAATTGTTGCTCCTGGGGGCTCGTGGGGGGCCTGCCCAGGAAGGTCGTGCCAGGGCTCGGGTTTTTTTTTCATCATGGTAGGCTATTGGTGCCAGATTTGGGGCAGGCACAGCCTACGGTTCTGGCTGTTTCTGGTCGGCGTGGGGATTACACTGTTCATCGCTTAGGTTCTCGCAAGGCGTGTCGGCCCTTTTGCGCTTCGTCACGTTGATATGGCAATGGGGGGGGGCGGCTTGCCCTGTTTGCTCACACCTGTTTCCACGATTCGTGGGCTTTTCAAGTTGTTTTGTGTGGCCTGTGGTGGCATTGGGTGGCTCCTCCTCCCTTGGGGGTTCGGGGCTGGCAGGGCAGGCCTCTTCTCCTGCGTTCTGTCTTTGTCATCTCGGAGTGGGTTTGCTTGGGCATGGTCGAAACAACGTCGTACCTCAGGTGGGTTTCCCACCGGTTTCTAGTCCCGAAACGGGACTGTGCGGACCTCCGGTTCATTCTGGACTTGTCCCATCTGAACCCGTGGGTTTTGTGCTCCTCGTTCTGGATGACTACGCTGTCCTAGGTCCGTCTTCTTTTGGAGGGGGTGTCCCTGGACTTTAAGGACGCATATTGGTACATCCTGGTTCATCCGGGGTTCAGGGACTCGCTCGGGTTTGTTGTGGGACATCAAGGTTACCTCTTTCGTTGTCTTCCCTTCGGGTTGTATCTGGCACCTCGCATTTTCACACGCCTTACTTGGGCCGTGGTGACCCGCCTGCATCTGCTAAGTGTTCGGGTGCTGGCCTATCTCGATGATTGGCTGGTTTGGGCTCCCAGCAGGTCCTCTTGTCTGCTAGCCAGGGTTTCGGTTCTTTTCCAGCTTGCCGGATTCGAGTTCTTGGTGAACTGGAGGAAGTCCCATCTGGTTCCCTCTCAGGTTCGGTCTTGACTAGGTCTAGTTTGGGACGCTCGCTCTGCTTCCTTGTCTCTTCCTCCAGCGGCTCTTGCGCCTGCGATCCCACCTTCGCCCGTTTCTGCGGGGTTCTCGGGTCACAAGGCGGTTACTCGAGAGTTTGTGCAGGAGCCAGAATTTTACCATGATAGTCTACCTGCCGGGTCGGGTGTGACTTCGTCAGCTGTTCTGGTTCCTTCGGGGCCGGCCCTTCCGCCTCTCTCGCGATCGTTGGGTTCGGCCACCGGGGGCTTTACGTCGGTTGCTGCGTCGCCGACTTCCTCTTCGGGATTTTTGGAGTTCGGTGCCTTGGTGCCTTCCCGAACCCTCCCTTGATGTGTACAATGACATGTCGTCTCTTGGCTGGGGTTTTGTGACCAGTGCTCACCAGGCCGGCCAGGGGCGGTGGGGTCTGTCCTTCCGTCGGGCTTGCAGCACGGTACTGGAATTTGCAGGGGTGTGGATGTCACTCCAGAGGATTCGAGTCACTGGCCCGAATCCCAGGCCAGTGACTTTTTCCCGGGCCCTCGACGTTCGTAAATTTGCTGCTTTGGCTGCTGTGTTTGGCAACATCTCTTGGGTGGACATTCGGGCCAGCGGTTTTTGGAGATTGAACAGGGTCCTGGCCGCTCGCTACCTGGTGAATGTTCCTGGTCTGGTCGAGCCTGCGTTACTTTGGGTCGGCGATTGCAGCCAGTTGTCTCGACTTCGCGTTGAGGAGTGAGGACGGATCGCCTCCCGGGTAAGTCCCTGTTTTTCCTTATCTTTGGGTAGTTAGCTCCGGGGAGCGGATGGGGCTCCCCCCAGAAAACCAGCGTTAAATGTAATGAAATGCCATTTTCTGGGTGAGTCCTGGAGGCTCCCCGGCATCCCTCCCTCCTTCCGGTCAGCGATGTGTTCACATTTTTGACATCCAGCCTAAGAACTAACGGTTGAGTCGCTGACAATGGGGTCTGGGGTGACAGTGACTCAGCGACATGATGAGGTTACCTTGAGGTTACCTTGAGGTGCTTCCGGGGCTTAGCGTCCCCGCGGCCCGGTAGTCGACCAGGCCTCCTGGTTGCCGGACTGATCAACCAGGCTGTTGGACGCAGCTGCTCGCAGCCTGACGTAAAGCATGACGTCATGCTTGTTTGCTAATTTTCGTTTGGGGAGTTCTGTCCACTTGTTCAGTCTTCAGTCTCAATAGTGTACCAGAATAGGGGTTTGTTTTGGGGCGCCTACCTTTCTGGGTGCCTATCCTGGTCGATGGCAGACATAGAATGCTCCTAATCATAAGTGGGGGTCTCTATTGGCCATTGCTCCTCGTGCCTTTCTAGAGGGGGCCAGATTCTGGCTCGTGGTCTCCGGTAGGCAAGAACTCCATGCATTGACTGATGCCAGAAAGTTGTACATATCCATTCAGCCTGGATAGCTCTGGGGAGCCTCCGGGACTCGCCCAGAAAGTGGCGTTTCATTACATTCAACGCTGTTTTTTTGTTAGGCCTACAGTTGTGAATGGTTCTATAACCAGATAAGTTGAAAAGTTGGGTTTGGTCTTGACTTAGCCAGGTTTCAGTTAAAATAATGAACGATAGTTCAGTACCTAGTGCTGAGAGTAGTGCATTTATATCATCAAATTGTTTACCAAGTGATCTGACATTTTGGTTTAAAACTGATAAGCAAGTGTTATTTTAGAGTTTGTTTTTTGCCTGGTGTGCTGTGTAATACTTGCAATGGTGATGATCAGTGTGTTTGTTATTGTATATTTGAGATAATAGATTTTGTTCAGGATCAATATCAGCTTGCATGTGGATGCAATTGAGTCAAGGTACAATAAGGAAAGCAAGTACAGAGCAGTAAATTACTAAATCTGCTAAAAATTTAAAATAATTATGATAAACAGAAAAAAAAGGAGAAAAATATGCAAATACATATATAATAGAAACAAATAATGTGAAATGAAGATCGCTTAAATGAGATAATAATAGCAAATAACAATTGATAATTCTATAAAACAATACCTGTAGCTTACTTTAATAATATAATTACACTATAGTTACTTACTAAAGTTATACTAAAACAAAAATGAGGTAGATTACTTAGAGGTACACTCAGGTACACTGAAAAAATAAAGTTTATACTAGAGGACACAGGCAAAGCCAGTGTACAATGGAACATGGGAGTATGGAGTAAATATAAAATAATTAGAGTAAAAAACAAGAATATTAAAAAATGTTTAATAAATATTAAATATTAAATAATGATTTTGACTGGCAGCATCTTATACTAAATTTTGTATGTAGTGGTGTTTCTGGGTGTATGGTACTTGAACAGATATTGTAAACATCACAGTCAGACATTGGTACTCAAAGATGTGTACAAGTTTGGGGAGGAGACATTAACTGCTATTCAGATATGAATATAGAAATGAGCAATGGGTTTGTAAACACACAATATTAATTTAACAGTACAAGAATCCTTACTTGGTGTTTCAGGGAATTTAGAAAAGCTCATCCTTTACTTGATGGTGGGTTTGTGTGTGGGTCTGCTGCTATTCTTGATCGTGGTTGTGGGACGTTTGCTGATTGAACGACATCAAGCCAAGAAAGAGGCCAAGATGATGCATGATCCCCTCACTTCTGTATTTGCAACAGGTACAGTATTTTGTATAGTTCCTTGCATACTTATATATTTGTGATAAAAATTTGTGGATCTTTAATTTAGACATGTTGAAACTCATTTCAGCAGGCATACGCTATTGTTGGAAATGTTGGATCAATGTCAATACTGTAATGTTATTTCAGTGTCAACAGCATTTCAAGCATAAATTTAAAAGTAAATAATTTTAAATAATTGGGGTAACACTCAATATTATACAGGAAGGTAACAAATATGATTAGTTTAAGAAATTTAGCAAATGATTTGCAGTTTTTTTTTTTTTTTTGGGGGGGGGGGGGGAGGGGAGCGTCTGTTGGTGATGCCTTGGTGATGGTTATCTGCCAAGCTGCACCCAATTCATTCCATGCCAGACCCATGTGAGTCATTGCAAGCCTACCAGTGACCGGAGGGCAAAATCTGGCACCCTCTAAGGAGACACGAGGGCAATTGAGTCCAAGATCACCTTAACAAAGAATAGACCAGCAGAAGGTGAGCAAACCAAAACATACAAACTGCATGGTAAATAAAGCATAGAAAACAAAATGGCAAAGCCCCGAGAGGAATGAATCACCCCGGTTGTGAAATATTTCTCTCATTAATTCCACCTGTGCACCATCAGAGAAATGCACACTTTTCACATCAATCCCCAAGTCACGAACCTCAGTCATTTTGCCTGGCACTGACATCTATGACATTTGTTGTTGCACTCGACTTGCTCTTCAATTCCTGGTTTTTCAGAAAAGTGTTGGCTATATTGCAGGGGGTTGCAGGAGGGTGCCATTTGCTTATGTATTTTGTTTTTTTGTGTGAATGTTTTTTTCATAGCTATTGTGTGTTAGCCTGATTATCCAGGCTATGATTCATATGTCATGCTGCAAGCAGCTATGCTCAACTGTCTGGTTGACCACACCACCAACCAGGAGGCATACTCAGAGACTGGGCGGGTCCGTTTAATTACCCAAAGCTACTCAAAGCGTCCTACCATTACGTTAGTAATGAATAAATATGATATATTTATTCATTATAATGTTGGTGCTGAATGTAGAACATGACAAACATATTTTTACTCTCAAAAAGTATAATTTTATAACAAAATTGGATGAAAATAAGGTGGTGTGGCGCCAAAGCAAGTCGACGGTCCAAGCGACAATGTTTGCTGGCATATGAGCCTCCTGTACCTACCTACCTAACCTAACCAACCTACCCAAACTTACCTAACCTAATCTAACCTAACCTAATTAAACCTAAGCTATCCAAACCCAACTTAATATAACCTGTGGGCAACAATATATCTTGAATGATTTGATCATCTTGAATAGGTCGCTCCACACGCTCCTCTCATGCCACTTAGTTTCATCTAATTTTGTTATAAATTTATATTATTTTAGAGTAAAAATATGTTTTTTCGTGTTCTACAGTCAACACCAACAATATAGTGAGTAAATATATCATATTTCTTCATTACATTAAGGTACATACATAATGCTAGGAGGCTTTGGGTAGCTTTGAGTAAATTTGGGTAGCTTTGGGTAATTAGACAGACTGGACTGGGCCATAAGGATGTTGATCCATGGAACCAACACAAGGTAACCTCACTTCATGTGTGGATTATGATTACCTCTTCTCTTCTCTTTGGAAACCATGTGCCTAAAGTGATAATTTCTAGGTATTCGCTGGTGTAGCCCTTGCCTAGAGTTGCCTTTGGTGAGTCTGGGCAGCTGGCTTTCAGTGGAAGACGCCTCTCCCTTAGCAGTGTATGTCTCTGACTTTCTATGAGACTTTGTGGATGGGGGGTAGTCTGGATTACAGTACAGTATAAGTCACAATGAGGATTTGCGTGCTTTTTCTGGGGGGAGCCCCTTCGGCTCCCGGAAGCATATTCAGGCTGATAAGGATATATTAGACTTTGGCATCAGAGTGAATGGAGTTCTTAGCCCTACTGGGGACCATGAGCCAGAACCTGGCTCCCTCAGAGAGGCACGAGGAGCAATGGTCAATAGAAATGCACAAGTGATTTGGAGCATTCTATGTCTGCCATCGACTGGGTCAGGCACCTAGAAAGGTAAGCATCCCAAAACAAACCCCCCTATTCTGGTTGAAACTACTACTAAAAGTCAAATGAGTGAACAGAATGCCCCAAAGAAAAACAAGCAAACAAGCATGATCTCACCATGTTGCCGCGCCACCATCTGCGCAGCTCTCCTGTCCCTGGAAGGGGAAAGAGGGAGACACAGACCCCTCACGCCGGCTACCCACACCCTTAGTTCTAGGCTGATGTGTTTGAGGCTTGGTCGTATGACTCCAGCTCCTGTTTCGTGTTCTCAGTGCGTGTTCACAGAGCCTTGTGTCATAGAGCCGTCTTCAGGTTGGTGCATGAGCTGGGAGTAATCTTCACAGGTACTCGGGCTGCATGTGCTTAGGGGTTCCCTTTCCTAAGTGTCCTGTAAGTACCGCCCTTGGGGGTTGGGGTTATCATCCACACATCACCTTGGGGTCTACCTCTCTTGGTCTCTAGCTGCTTGGTAATTGACCGCCCTGAGTGTGCTGGGAGGTTTTCTCCTCCCTTGTTTACCTTAGGGTAAGGGGGTAGTCTGCACTGGTAGGGACACGGGGGTACTGCACAGCTAGTTTTCACCTATTATAGCGGCCAGCTCTGTTCCGCCTGGGTATGTTGCCCTCTTGCAGGGTTTTTCTTTTGTTTTTGTTTTCCTGCCTGGTGGGGGGTCTTTCTTTGGTTCGTTGCCCCTATCTATAACTTAGGTTTATATATATCTATGCTTCAGGGTGGTATCCCCCTTCTAGGCCCCCGTGAGTGGACATTTGCCGGTGTGTTCAGCTTTTAGCAATTCAAGGCTGTGTGGATGTCACTTTGGAGGGTTTGGGTCGCTCGCAGATCAACAATCAAGCTCTATTCGGACTGCTCTCCAGTGATTCATTGCCTGAACCGAGGGGGGGGTTTGATGCAGTTCATGGCCCTTTGGGGATGGTCGCTTTGGGTAACTTGTCTGTCGAGTTCTCGGGGTTTGGCTTTCTTGACTATTCACATTTGGGGGGGTGTCCAACATCCTGGTGGATGACTTGTCTTGGTTCATTCACCTGTCCTCGGAATGGATGGTTGAGGCCGACTCAACCATCGTTCAGTTACCTCTGCCAGAAATAGGGGCTCCCGGAGGTGGACCTCTTCGCGCCAGCATGGTCGAGGCATCTCCTGGTATATGTGGCAGCCTTCCTCGACTGTGAGGCCATCGGGGTTGATGCTTTTCAACAGGACTGGTCGAGGTGGAGTTACCAGTAACTTTCCCCCCCGGTTCCGCTGTTACTCCAGGTCCTAGCTCACTTGGAGACTTACTAGGAAAGAGTAGTCCTCTAGGCTTGGTAGCCAGCCCAGCCTTGGTTTCAGGTGCTGCTTGCTCGGTGTCCGAACCCAGGGGTTTTTCTGCAGCTTCGCCTCTTTCAGATGATCGATCTGGTCCGTTACATGGCTGGCTCAGTCTTCACCTCGAGTCTTCGTGTCTGGTATTTTTGACTCGGGGTCGATCACCATCTGTATGGTGATCAGGTGGCTTTGTTAATGGTGTCCTACCTACATGCTTTGTCTCGGCGGCAGTATGAAGTTTCCTGGCGGTCCTTCCATTTCTTTTTGTCTCTTCATAGGTATGCTTCACTCTCTGTTAAGGTGGTCTTGTTCTTTCTCTCGTGGCTGTTTCAGGACCATCATCTTATGCTGAATACTGTTGTCTCGTATCATGCGGCGCTGGCGGAGCTGCTGCAGCTTGCTTTCGGCATCAATGTTACTTCTGCTTCCGGTTACTTCCATTTTGCAAGCTGTCTCTGGTGTTGTTTCACCTCCTACATACTCATGCACTACCTGAGCAATCTTGGTCGTTAGATAGGGTTCTTTCTTATCTCTCTTCCCCTCGGTTTGTTGTGGCCCCCTCCGGTTCAGGATTGTCTCTCCAAGACTCTTTTCTTTTTGGCATTGGCCTCTGGGGGGTTGGGGTCGGGAGTCGGGTCGGGAGCTTCATGCTCTCCTCCGGCACAGGAGTTTTGCTCTTTTGGCTCTGGTGATAGGTTTGTTCATTTGCAGCGTCTCCTTCTTTTTTGGCGAAGAATGAGACGGCTGCTTTCCAGAGGGGTCCTTGGGTGGTTGATGCTTGGTTGGTCAGGTCGGGGGCTGTATAATGTGTTGTGTCCAGTTGCGGCTTTCTACTGTTATTAGCGCACCAAGGCTTCTGTGTCCGGAAACGGTATTCCTTCTTCCCTGTTCCAGGGTTTCAGTTGCTCAGGTCATCCACAGGGTTATTTGGTCTAGCCAGCATGCAGGCTAACCCCATGCCCATGATGTTCATAAATTTGGTGCTCTTGTTGCCATCTTTGGTAACATGTCTTGGGCTGACAATCGGGCGCTGGGTTTTTGGTGGTCGAACAGGGTCCGGGCTGCGCACAACCTGGTCAGTATTCTGGGGCCTAGTTAGGCTTTCTGGGAGAAGCCCCTTCAGCTCCCCGGAGCTTTCCAGGCTGATATGCTAATATCAAACTTTGGCATCAGTCATGTGTATGGAGTTCTGTGGGCCTACCGGGGACCATGAGCCAGAACCTGGCTTCCTCAGAAGAGGCACGAGGAGCAATGGCCTATAGAAACCCTCGTGTGGTTGGAAGCATTCTATGTCTACCATCGACTGGGTCAGGCACCCAGAAAGGTAAGCATCCCAAAACAAACCCATATTCTGGTGAAAACTGCTACAAAAAGCCGAACAAATGGATAGAACTCCCCAAAAAGAAACAAGCAAACGAGCATGACGTCACACGTCGCTGTCTGCACAGCTCGCCCCTCCCCGGGAGGGGAAAGGGGGAGCCCCAGACCCCTGCGCTACCCATCCACCCTTCAGTTCTAAGGCTGATGTTAGAGGCTGAGGTCGTGTGCTCTGGCTCTTTGGCTCCAATGATTTTGAGCACTGTACTTTGCGTGTGGTGACTGTCCTCCAGGGGTACACGA